CTGGGTTCAGGTCCCCACATCACCTGTATCAGCTTGTGATCCAGAACAAAAACCGGTCTTTCCAAGCCTGGTGACAATGATGGTAACGGCACTGTGCTTCCTCCAACGCCGTGGCTGTGAGCGGAGCAAGCGTCAAAGCACTGGGTGCAGGGCGCCAGCTCACGGTCACCCATGGGGTGGGTGGACACCCAGGGCCGCTTGCACGGTGCACACCCCCGGTTCAGCACCGAGCAAGTGGGCCTGGACCCTGAAGGATGTGGCTGCTGCCTGGCTCCAGAGTGACAAATATAGCAAAAGAGCTTGTTGGTAAATACTGCCTGAAAACATTGGCTTAATTTGTCTTCTCAAAGCTGTTTTTGTTTTCTGTGGGTTTTTTTTTTTTAATGTTCCCAGCTGACTAAATTTGCATTCTTCCCTCAAGGACCATCTTGGAATAATCTTGCTCAGCTGAATAATGTTGCAGACTAAAAATAGCAAACGCAGCCCCTTGCCTTCCTGTCACCTCTCGGGTCCGTCCACGCCGTCAGCCCTGGGGCGCCTCTGCAAACACAGGCCCCTCCTTGCCGTGGTGCAATCACCACGGCACAGGACCGAGCGTGGAGACTTGCAGCAGTGCAGGGAGCTTTTCCTTTCTCCAGATGTTGCTCAAAACAGTTACTACCAATTTTTTTTTGTTTGTTTATGTATTTGAAACAGGGTCTTGCTCTGTCACCCAGGCTGGAGTGCAGTGGTGCAATCATAGCTCACTGCAGCCTCAACCTCCTGGGCTCAAGCAATCCTCCCACCTCAGCTTCCCAAATAGCTAAGACTACCAGTGTGCACCACCACACTTGGCTGACTTCTTTGTATTTTTGGTAAAGATGGGGTCTCACTATGTTGCCCAGGCCGGTCTCGAGCTCCTAGGTTCAAGCGATCCTCCTACCTTAGCTTCCCACAGTGCTGGGATTACAGGCGTGAGCCTCTGTGCTCAGCCCATTCGATTTTTAAAAACTTAAATGATCCTGCGTTTTCTGCTGCCCACTTTTTCGAGGGCTTTTGGTGCTTTGGATTGTTAAGTTGTGTGAGTGAACATGAGAATGACCTTGCCAAAGCAAGTGCCGGAGACCTCCCTGCTCCCAGCTGGGATTCTGTGCACATCCAGAGTTTGTGTTTTTGGGGTTGTTTCTTTTTTTTTTTTTTTTTTTTTGAGATGGAGTCTCGCTTTGTCACCCAGGCTGGAGTGCAGTGGTGCAGTGTTGGCTCACTGCAACCTCCGCCTCCTGGGTTCCAGCGATTCTCCTGCCTCAACTTCTTGAGTAGCTGGGATTACAGGCACCCACCACCACACTCGGCTAATTTATGCCGAGTTTCACCAAGTTGGCCAGGGTGGTCTTGAACTCCTGTCCTCAAGTGATCTGCCTGTCTGGGCCTCCCGAAGTGCTGGGATTACAGGCGTGAGCCACTATGCCTGGCCCAGAGTTCGCTTTTTATTCAGTTGGGGAACTCTGACTTACTTTCTAAAGCCAAGCATTTCTATTTTGTCCAAATGTGTCAATCAGGGGTCTGTGCCTTGTTGTGTGTGTGTGTGCGTGGCATAGCTCCACAGCTCCCATCCTAGAACGTGGTCCAGGCCAGGGCTCTGGGCTCAGCAGACAGCCAGGCTGCTTCCACTGGTCTGTGAAGCTTCCGTCTCAAGTCTCAAGGTGGCCTCAGTGTTCGGCACGGTTGCTGTTGCCCCGGTAATTATGTTTCCATTCCAGGCGAGAGATAGGAGGGAGGGATGGTGGGTGGTGATCCTCTGGATAGCTCTCTGCCACCTCTTCATAGACTCCCACGAGGGCTGTGCCGTAGGCCACACCCACTTTGCACTGCTGGCTCCCAGCTGCAAGGGGAGCAGGAAGTGTCATCTTTTAGCTGAGTGCGTGGCCACACAGAAAAATAGTGGGGACAGGGAGAGAAGAAGTGGGTTTGGGGGGCGCCCCGCCCTCCTAACCCTGCCTGCTGCCCTCTGTCCCCAGCAGGAGCTCCTCTGAGCCCATCCATGCACTGTGCACCCACCACCCCCAGCGCCCTGGCGCCCACCTTGCCCTAAACCCCACTGTGCTGTGCTCGCTCGCGGTTCCTGCAGGTGCACATTCTCTCTCTGAATTGGTTTCATTGCACTGAAAGTTGGGGCCACAGGGGTAGATCGGAGCTACCTCTTGAGAACAGCAGTGCCCAGGCTTTGGCCCAAGCGGCCAGAACACCCCTTGGAGCACCGACCCCATTGGCTCCGGGAAATGCAGCGAGAACAGAGTCCCTTGGTGTGACTGGGGGCGCTTCTTTTGTTCAGAAAGCAGTGGGGTGATGTCATGGGATTCCTTTTCACTGCTGTTGCCCAAAGTGAAACTGGGCTTAGTTGTTGTCTTGGGAGCCCAGCCAGCCAGGGGGACACGGCCTCCTGCCCGCAGGCAGAGGCCTGGGGCCAGATGTTCGCTTTCTCTTTCGCTCGCAGGAGTGAGGAGCAAGGACCTCACTGCCTTTGCGCGGCCGGGCCCCTCCGGCCTGTCTGTGCGGACGGACTCGCTGGGCCTCGCCCATGCTCCGGGCGTGTGGCTGTGTTGGGAGGACGGGAGCTCTACTGCTTGGCAGTGGACACACCCAGGCTGCTGGCCGGCCCAGTGGGTGGCAGTGCCACTTAGATGTGATTTCTCAATCTCTGTCAACTGCCGTGGCTGCCCGGGCTGGGCTGTCCTGTAGGTTTCAGTTCTTCAGGGAAACAGGCTGGGAGCCAGGCGAGGTGCCCATACTCGGAGGGGTGGGGAGCCAGAGGCACATGTGCTGGGCATGGGCTGGGGCCTCTGGCTGGCGGGGGGCGGGGTGTGTGTGTGTTTGGGCCTGGTGGGATTCCCCATATTAGGAAGGTGAGCGCAGCTCAGCTGCGGTGGCCGAAGCAAGGAAGTGATTTGTCAAGCCATTTAGACACTGTCCCTGTTTTCTTTCAACAAACGGACCTTTTTTTTTTTTTTTTTTAAGCAGCAAAGACCTTTTGCTCTCTATTGGGGTGTGGTTGAGGTTTGCATTTGGGGGCTCTCTTGAGCTTTGCCGTTGTCTTCAAGGATGGTATCTAAAGGGAAAGTCTTAAAATAAATAACTTTGAATTTGGATAGGAATGTCTGTGCAGTGAGGGCAGGAGGCTTCCATGTGTTTCCCTAGAACATTCTCATTCTTGGCCAACGAATGCTTTTACTTAGGAAGGACGAGACCCATGCTGCAGACCGTCTGTGGGAGCTGGCCACAGCGGGATGGCAATCACCTTCCTGGCAGGCCCCTCCTGGGCTCTGTCCTCTGCTTCTGAAAGCATTTCCTCCACTAACTTTAGCAAAACTGGGCTAGCAGATCATTTGAGGTCAGGAGTTCGAGACCAGCCTGACCAACATGGTGAAACCCTGTCTCTACTAAAAATACAAAAAAGTTAGCAGGACACAGTGGCACGTGCCGCAGGAGGCTGAGGCAGGAGAATCACTTGAACCCGAGAGGCGGAGATTGCAGTGAGCCGAGATTGTGCCATTGCACTCCAGCCTGGACGACAGAGCGAGACTCCGTCTCAAAACAAAAACACAAACACAAACAAAAACTGGGCCTGGGCCTTGGAGGTGCCTGAGAGCAGAAGATCGACAGTGGGAGCTCAGGCCTGCCATGTTTGCTCTCGTTTCTTCTCCCGTCTCCAGGGCGGCAGCTGCTCTGCCCTCAAGCCCTCTCTTTTTGCCCACCCTATTCACAGGGGTAAATGATAACAGGCGCTTTCCCTCAAACTCCGTGTTTTCATACATCACCCAAGTGTTCAGAGAAGTGGGATATTTTGGTGAGTTAATTTACTTGAAGTGCTTAGCACACGGTACCTGGTATGTATAATAATAGCAGATACTAGTTGTCAACTACTAATTTTAATTTTTTTTTTTTTTTTAAACAAACAGGGTCTTGCTCTGTCACCCAGGCTGGAGTGCAGTGGCACGATCATAACTCACTGTAGCCTTGAATTTCTGGGCTCAGGTGATCCTCCCGCCTCAGCCTCCTGCAGTAGCTGGGACTGCAGGCATGCACCACCATGCCAAGCTAATTTTTTTTTTGGTAGAGACGGGGTCTCGCTCTGTTGCCCAGGCTGGTTTTGCACTCCTGGCTCCAAGTGATCCTCCCAGTTTGGCCTTCCAGTGTTGGGATTAACAGGTGTGAGCCACCACTCCGAGCCTAACTATTATTATTATAGAATTTCATGTTAAGGTTTGCAGGTTATTCTTTACTTTATTTTTTTATTTAACTTAATTAATTAATTTATTTATTTGGCAAGGGCATCTTACTCTGTTACCCAGGCTGGAGTGCAGTGGTGCGATCTTAGCTCACTGCAACCTTCACCTCCTGGGTTCGAGTGATTCTTGTGCCTCAGCCTCCGGAGTAGCTGGGATTACAGACGTGCAGCACCACGCCCAGCTAATTTTTGTGTTTTTAGTAGAGACTGGTTTCACCATGTTGGCCAGGCTGGTCTCGAACTCCTGACCTCAGTTGATCCTCCTGCCTTGGCCTCCCAAAGTGCTGAGATTATAGGTGTGAGCCATGGCGCCCGGCCTAATTTTACAGGTTGTGCTAAAGAGTGGTGTTTTCTCCTTTCAGGCTTCAGTGCTGAGGGCAGCCTGCTGTCCGTCCCTGCGACAGACTGGGCCCTGCCCCACCAGCCCATCACTCCTCGAGGTCACATGAGAGTGCTTGCTCCTGGGTGGGAACAAGTGCACTGAGGAAACACTTTACCAGAGTAAACGAGATTATAACTTGTTTGCCAGAGAACCTCTCCTATGGCCACACCTGAGCCTCTCCTGGGTCTGTCCATGGTCTTCACATTGGTGCTTGGACACCCGTCCTTCGGGAGGGGAGGAAGAGTGGCCTGTAAAATGGAGAGAGTCGGTGGCATGTGTTTGCTGATTGGATTGGCATTGGTATAGACAGTTATCAATCACTGCACAGACAGTTCCAGGGGCCCTCCCCCAGCCATGTTTAGTGGCACTGACCTCGGGCAGCTGGGCCCCCGGGACAGCAACCAGGGGACTGCGCTGGCCCTGGATGGCAGCCGGGACCGGTCAGAAGCTTCTGTTTGGAGCAGTTCTGTTGGCAGCCCCCCACCTCCAGTGGAGATGTGACATGGCTCTTTCTCGTCTGCCAAACATTCTCTGATTCTTTGGATCATCGATCCTCCCACAGCAAAGGCGGTATTGTTGCTGTCCTTTCAAGGTTAATCCAGGATCAGAAAAGTCTAATCATTTCTCTGTGGTTTTTGGAATTTCCAAAGAGCACCCAGATTTTAACCCTCAGTCCTCCGGGTTGTCCGGCTGTAGCCGTGCTGCTGTTGAGCAGTAAGCTCATTCCACCTCCCATATAAACTTGTTTCTATGCATTTACCTCCTGGGAGACTCCAGATTCCTGAAAGAACTGCATGGTTATGAACTCTTACTCGTGTGCACTGAAGTGCACGTGCTGTGTGTGTACTGACCCTCTGCCCTGTGGGAGCCACGTGCTGTGAGGAGAACAGACCAGCAGCAGCTGGGACTCCTCCTCCAGGAACCTGCTCCCAGCTAGGCATGGTGGTGCAAGCCTATAGTCCTAGCACTTTGGGAGGCTGTGGCAGGAGGATCGCTTGAGGCCAGCAATTTGAGGCCAGGCTGGGCAACACTGTGAGACCATGTCTCTTTGAAAAAATAAAAAAAGTAAGAAAGAAAAGTAAACGTATTCCTCCTAAGTCGGGCATTAGAGTGAGCCAGGGAGTTCAAGGAAGGCTGCCTGGGAAACAGTCTTAGAGGACGAAAAGTCTATGCGGATAAACCAGCGTCTTGTACTTAGTGTCAATCAGGTGGCCAGTGAATAATGACTCAGTGGAATTATTGTGGACAGCATTTTGAGATCTGCAGATTAAGCCATTTGAACTTCCCAGAAGCATTTTCTTAAATCAGCATCGAGACAGAAGATGGACGATAACTTGAACTGCTCGTCGCGAGCAAGCTCTGGCACCGTGTGCAGCCTGTTCTGCCCGGGTCTGCCCCAGAGGGTTGCAGAACGCCGTGTCTGTGTCCGCTGTCTTAAAGAGTCCTGTCCGTCTTTACGTGGTCTCTGTGTTTACATGTAAGCCACACAGCGTGGTGGGGAGCGGAGGTCATTCCGCAGCCTACTCTCTGACCCTCAGGGTCCTCTTTGGGAGCAGCAGGCAGTGGCTTTCTCCTGGGCCAGGCAAGATTGTCTTGGGGAGTGGAACATCTGCTAGAAATGCAGATTGCTGGGGTCACCGCCATTTGGCCAAGTCAGTCATCTGAGGGTCCCTTAGCCTCCGCAGGGTAAAGCTGTGGGAGTCACCGTGGGTCCCCATGGCGGGATTGGGAAGCAGGTACCTATCAGATGAGCGTTCCTTCCACGAACGGAAGGTGGGGTGATTTTGAAGGAGCTGTGAACACCAACGGCGCCATCCTTGCCCGTGCTGCCGTGGGGTGCTCAGGACTGCCGGACCCAAGGAGCCCCACCTAGCAGGACACACACACCTGAGCCCCAGGGAGGGTGGGTGGCCATGGCTGTGCCTGGCTGCCTCTGTGGGCCTCTGTGAGACTTCATCCTAATTCAGTGAGGTCTCTTGCCACCTTCCTCCAGGGTCTTCCTGAGACGGAGGCTAAGACTTCAGATTCAAAAAGAAACCCTGACTGGGCACAGCGGCTCACGCCTGTCATCCCAGCACTTTGGGAGGCCAAGGCAGGTGGATCACCTGAGCTCTGGAGTTTGAGACCAGCCTGGCCAAAATGGTGAAACACTGTCTCTATTAAAAATACAAAAACTAGCCAGGAGTGGTGGTGCACGCCTGTAATCCCAGCTACTCGGGAGGTTGGGGCAGGAGCATCCCTTCAACCTGGAAGGCGGAGTTTGCAGTGAGCTGAGATCTAGCCACTGCACTCCAGCCTGGGCGACAGAGCAAGACTCCGTCTAAAAAATTTAAAGAAAGAAAAGAAAAGGAAAACGAAAGCCTGGCCTTGGTCAGACCGTTGTCTGCAGTTTTCACTGCATGTCACCAACTCAGCATATGGGCTTGAGTATCTCACTGTCTTTTTTCTTTTTCCAAATAGAACGTGCTTATTTGCCTGATTACAAAAATAAATGCATTCTCTCTATTTAAAAAAATTAGGCCCAGTGAACACATAAGAACTTATAAACACTAAAACTGCTACCGCGTTTTAATTCGCACACCCCATGCACACCCCCACATTGTTGTCACTGTGAAAACACAGCGCCCAGAGCCAAGTACACTCGGCCAGAGTGAGTGATGGGCAGGCTCAAAGCTGTGTCCCTGACCACACTGCCACCCGGCTTGCCACCGTGGTCAGCCATGGGTTACGTGGGTCCTGGGGTTCAGGAGAACAAGGTTGGGGCACGGACCCAAAAGTGGTGTCAGGGTTGCAGCTTTGGTTCCTGGAGGAGGGACGCAGGCACAGCGGAGCGGGCATGATTTGCAGGCACCAGTGCTGGTTCAGTGTAGGGGAGGGGATGACGTTTCTGTTGATGTCAGGGACCTTGGCGACCCAGCCTCCGCCCCGCCTTCGAGTTCATGCCTTATTTTCCAAAACCGCCACACTCGAGACGTCCTTGCTGCGATGTCATCTGTAACTTGTGTCCCATCACTGCCTTGCACTGTTCTTAGTACACTGGCAAAGACGGGGTCTCTGCAATAGAGAGGCACCTATGGCTGCAGCCGCCTGTGTTCGTTTTGGGGGTGTCATAAATAAATGCCTTCCATTTTTAATAGAAAGACAGTATTTTAGGTTAAAAAAATTAAGATTGTCAGAATTCTCTGATTTGGGGATTTTTTATGTTAACGTTTCTTTCAAAACCATTTCCTGAGGATGGGCGTGGTGGCTCCCTCCTGTAATCCCAGCAGTTTGGGAGGCCAAGGCAGGAGGATCCCTTGAGGGCAGGAGTTCGAGACTAGCCTGGGCAACATAACAAGACCTTGTCTCTTCAAAAAATTAAAACCATTTGCTGAACAGGCTTATTTCTCCGAGGAGTTTAAGCAAACACTGCAGGGCCTCTGGCATTCCAGTTTCAGGCCTTATCTGATGTGGCCCACCATGGGACCGTCACCTGACTTCCTGTGCCCGCACAGAGAACTCACTGGTGGGAGGCGGTGAGAGGTCTCCGAGGTGGTGGGTGGGCATCCCTGCAAGTCAAGCTCTGCTGTTCCCCAGCCTTCCCTTGAGACTCTTGGGGGCCCGGGCCCTGTGTGACGTTTTCCCCCTGCCTTGGAGCCGGACCACTTAACAGAACCAGACAAGCCAGGTTTAAAGCTTTATCGGGTTTCCTAAAGACACGTTGCAGCCTGCAAAATTCGAAAGTTCCTGTTACGAAGTATATAACAGCTTTTGCCTCCCATTCTTAAGTCTTTCATTTCTTCAAGAACATGGTAGCAACATTTAAAGAACCTTTTGAAAAGAGAGAGGTGGCCGGGCACAGTGGCTCATGCCTGTAATTCCAGCACTTTGGGAGGCCAAAGCGGGTGGATCACCTGAGTCAGGAGTTCAAGACCAGCCTGGCCAACATGGTGAAACCCGGTCTCTACTAAAAATACAAAAATTAGCTGGGCATGGTGGCGGGCATCTGTAATCTCAGCTACTCGGGAGGCTGAAGCAGGAGAATCGCTTGGACCCAGAGGCAGAGGTTGCAGTGCGCTAAGATCTCACCACTGCCTTCCAGCCTAGGCAACAGAGCAAGACTCTGTGTCAAAAACAACAACAACAACAACAAAACAAAACAAAACAAAAAAAAAAAAAAAAAAGAAAGAAAAGAGAGAGGCCTGCTATAACACCATCCTTATCCAAGGCTGTTTTCATTTCTCCTTCCAGTCCTTGTCTTAGTAACAATAATAACTGAAGCAAATTTTCAGTAACTGCTTGCCACGTGCCAGCCGTCCGGTCAGGACTCAGGACTGATGTTCACGGCATGGAGACCTGAGGCCACAGGGAGGCCGGGCTGGCCAGGGCGGGGCTCAGATCCAGTGACTTGCCCAGGTGCCCCCAGGGCATCCGAGCAGCCAAGGCTCCAGCCAGGCAGGTCTGACTTCACCTCCCTTGCCGTTAGCCGCTGCACTGTTCCACTTGATCTTCTGCTAAATGTATCAAGCTGTCGTAAATGTTTCCCTATTCCTACACGCGTCAGTATTTAGCGAGGGCTCCTTATGTGTGACACGCCTTGTGTGCCTCTGATGACATTGCTTGGAATCGTTTGTTCAGCACTTACAGGAACTCTGAATATGCACTGTCATTACCCCAGTTTCGCTGATGAGGGAAACAAGGCCAGTGCATGAAGAGACTGACCAAAGATCCCGGTGCCGACAGTTCTCCATTCATTCATTCATTCATTCACCGTCATAGCCCACTGCAGCCTTCGCTGCCCAACCTCAAGCCATCTTCCCTCCTCAGCCTCCCAAGTAGCTGGGACTCTAGGTGTGTGCCACCACACCTGGTTAATTTCTTTAAAAATTTTTAGAGACAGGGCGGGGCACAGGGGCCCACACCTATTATCCCAGCACTTTGGGAGGCCGAGGCGGGTGGATCACCTGAGGTCAGGAGTTCAAGACCAGCCTGACCAACATGGAGAAACCCCGTCTCTACTAAAAATACAAAATTAGCCGGGCGTGGTGGCACATGCCTGTAATCCCAGCTACTCAGGAAACTGAGGCAGGAGAATCGCTTGAACCCAGGAGGCGGAGGTTGCAGTGAGCCGAGATCGCGCCATCGCACTCCAGACTGGGCAACAAGAGCGAAACTCCGTCTCAAAAAAAAAAAAAAAAATTTAGAGACAGGATCTCGCTGTGTTACCCAGGCAGATTTCGGAATTACTGGGCTCAAGCGATCTTCCCGCCTTGGTCTCCCAAAGCGCTGGATTATAGGCGTGAGCCACCGCGCCGGCCAATATGCATAGTTTTAAATGGCCATAGCAACACAGGGCTTCAAACAGAAGTCCTCAGGTCTCACTTTGCAGAGGCAGTGGCTTTTAAAGCTTCCCAATTAACAATCTGAGCTACTATTCACTGAGTTTTCGCCCTGTTGTAGACATGCGTGGCTTTCTGTTAGAGAAGATAGGGTCTGACTGTCCTGTTGCCCCTCCTCATCCGGGAGCCGCGGGTCCACGCTGCACGCCCCTTACGTGTGTGCCTCTTTCCCATAGTGCAGAGTTTCTTTATCTTCTTACTCGTCCAGCGTTCTCTGTACCTATTGCGAATTGATCTCTGGACGCTGATGCCACTCTAGAACTCCACTCAGCAGTTGGGTAACACGACATTCCTGTCCTTCGGTTCTCCTGGGAACCTTCTCCCAAGAGCCCTGGCTCTCTCCTGCACAGCTCTGGGCTCCTGCACAGCTTCTGTTCTGGGGCTTTTCACCCTCTTCCTGGATTCTTTCAGTTAGAATGTAGTTTTGATTTTGTGCAAAGGTCAAAATAACAAGGGCCAAGTCTGTTTCGTTTATATGTGACAGTCTTTTTTTTTTTCTTTTTTTAATTTTATCATTTTTTATTTCAAGCTGGGGTCTTACTATGTTGCCCAGGCGGGTTTCAAACTCTTTGAGCTCAAGCAGTCCTCCCACCTCAGCCTTCCAGAGTGCTGGGATTATAGACGTGAGCCACCATGCCCAGCCACATGTGACCATCTTAATGTCAGCTATGACCTGACGGCACCAGGCTTTTTCTATTATGTTGCTCCGTTATGCAGTGTGCCTTTATGGCCCACTGTGGCTGCTCAGCTCCTGCCATCACAGCCACATCCAGCTGTTGAGAAGGGGAGGAGTGAAGAAAGCCCTTGGTTTCTCGTACAGACATGACCCATTTGTATCCCACTGACTAGCTCATAGTCTCATGGCTGCAAGAGGGGCAGAGAAACATGGTCTTCAGTTGGATGGGTGTTTCTCTGTCGCCGTGTTTGCTATAGAAGCAGGAGAGAAGGTGCTCTGGGAATCACAGTCTCAGCCACAGTCCAGGAAGCTGCCCAGTGCCCACGTGGGAACTGCATCCTGCAGGCATCGCTTGTGAAGACCAGCCTGGTGTCTTCTGGCCCTTCGCTTGGGTCTGCTGTGTCTGTCACGGGAGTGGTGGCTGCTCTGAGGCCCCTGAAGCTGCAGGCTGGGCGGGACAGTGGGAGCCTTTTCCTGGTCTTGACTCCCGCTGGCGTCCTCTCTCTGGCTGTCATAGCCAGCCCCATGGGATTGTGGAAGCCACAGGAACCTCCCAGCATGCGCCAACCCTGGACTTCCCCCGGAGCTCGTCTGGGTGGCAGGTGCTGGCCATGTGGGGTCTGCCCTCCAGGTGCCGCGGGTGAAGCTTCACCTGGCGCAGGGAAGGCCATCAGACTTCCAGCTTGTCACCTGTGTCCTCGGTCCCTAACCACTGAAGCGATGCCTGTGTTTTAACCTTAGTGACCGCGCCACCTGGCTCCTCAGAGACATGCGACTCCACAGCAGTTAGGAGATAGCAGGTGCATTCCCGGAGTTCCTGAGAAGGAGTGGCCTGTGTGGGGTGACTCTAACTCAAGCCATAGGCCTCCTAGACAGAGCCTCTGAAACTCCTGTTTTCTTTGTCCTTCCTGGGACAGATCTCATCCAGCCTCTTCCTTTTGACATTTTCTGAGTCACTTTAAACTGTGCAAGGTTTCCCGTTTCCCCTGGACGTGGCTTTTGTGGTCCTGGCCTTGGTGGGCAGGTGCAGGGCCTTGGTGGGCATCCATCCTTCGGAGGATGAGATGCTCTGTGGCTTCCACCACCCCCCAGATTGTCTGCTTCCTCCGTGCCCCTCAAACTCATTTGCCTCAGTCCCTGTCTTCCTTGTTGGGGACATTCCCCAAGTATCTGTTCCTGTGGAAGGGGAGGCGCCCCCCCTCCCCCCCGCTGCCCAAGTGTGTGTGGGCATCGGTGCATGGGGTTCCCGCCCTGGGACTTCATGGAGGGGCTCAGGAGGGCTAGGTCTCCGGCTTTTCTCCTGGGCCATCATCTGCTGACAGCTGGGCTCAGCTCTGGAAGCTTGGGGGGCCAAGAGCCTCCGGTCCTCCTGCAGAATTTCAGGTCGCAAGGCTATTTTCGGCATGGGGTGTTGCTCTCTGCTGCTTCTGTGTCGCGTGCCCTCGTCCAGGCCTCGTCGTTCGCCCCCTCCAGAAAGTAAACCCGTCCTTCTGCTGGGAGAGACACGGGGCGAGGGGACAGCTGTGGACAGGAGCGATCTGTCACATTCATTTTAAAAATTGCCTCTGGAAGCTTTCACGGCTTCTTCTTTCCCTCTCTGATTATTTCTCAGTGTCTGAAATGATGGCAATTGTATTTATAAATACGAGAATTAAGTGAGCTATTTTTATTTTCCTGACAGCTTTCTGGTTGGTCAGGCAGGTGGTGGGATTCGTGGCCTAAGGAGGGGATGGGAATGAAGGCACGTGACATGCCCCAAGTCACACGGGCTCATCACTGGTGGAGCAGTGGCCGGTGCCAGCTCGCTGTGTAGAGGGGACTCTGTGGTCTGAGGCTGAGCCAGGCAATGTCATCTCCAACCAAGTCACCAGTTTGGCCCAACTTCCAGGAGTCATCAGCTTCCAGGTGGACCTGGGAAAAACCCAAGGCTGGAGTTAGACCCTCAGTGTGGGAGCTTTTGGGCAAGAATTCTCCCCACAAACAGCTGGCCTGAGATAGACTGCACATACCCTACAACTAACCCTTTCCATCGTTCCAGTCCGTGATTTTCAGCACATTCACAGAGTTGCGCAGCCCCCAAGTCAACCTCGGAACGTGGTCATGACTCCAGAAGGAAGCCCTGCAGCCCTTAGTCATTTTCTACTCCCCTGCCTGTCCCACCCGTCACTCTAGCCCTAGGCAACCACGAAGCTCCTTTCTAAGTCAGGCAAGAACGTTCTGGAGAGATTTCCTCCAAAGATGGGCACTTGCTAGTACAAGAACCTCCCCGCCGGGCTGGTGGATGGAGATTTCTACCATGTGGGCACACTTAACCTTGGCAGAATCTCCACCAGTCAAGACCGGCAGTGTGTGTGGCTGGGTTTAAACCACCATGCAGCACCGTCACGATGCAAAATGTGTGCTTTGAAACTCCAGCTAGAGCCCTGCACCTCTATCAAGATATTACAGGGAGAGATGTAACTGGCAAACTTCGTGAGCACGCTGGGGAAACATCCATTTAAAAATCAAACTGGGTGCGGTGGCTCACACCTGTAGTCCTAGCACTTTGGGAGGCTGAAGCAGGTGGATCTCTTAAGGTCAGGAGTTCAAGACCAGCCCGGCCAACATGGTGAAACCCCATCTCTACCAAAAATACAAAAATTAGCCGGACGTGGTGGCGCACGCCTGTAATCCCAGCTACCCAGGAGACTGAGGCAGGAGAATCCCTTGAACCCGGGAGGTAGAGGTTGCAGTGAGCTGAGATCGCACCACTGCACTCCAGCCTGAGCGACAGAGCGAGACTCCGTTTCAAAAAATAAATAAAATAAAATAAAGTAGCATGCTTCATAGCATTTTCTCCACCTCCTAGTAACGAGGCCGCCTGCCTCAGTACAATCACTGTTACGGCAGAGTCTATGAAAATATTTATTGTTAAACTTTAATTGGAAAACTACTATTACAGTAGGAAATTGTCTGTCATCTACAGATGGGATTAGATCCCTGCCTGTCCTATAAGACATCGTTTTGTTTTACTGAAAACTCAATATATATACATATCATCTAGAATCAGTTTTGTTTTTGTTTTTGTTTTTTTTAAGATAGTCTTGCTCTGTTTCCCAGGCTGGAGTGCACTGGCACGTTCTCGGCTCACTGACATGGCCGTCTCCTGGGTTCAAGCGTTTTTCCTGCCTCATCCTCCCGAGTAGCTGGGATTACATATGTGTGCCACCGTGCCTGGTGAATTTTTTGTATTTTTAGTAGCGGGGGGGTTTTGCCATTTTGGCCAGGCTGGTCTCAAACTCCTGACCTCAGGTGATCCGCCCACGTGGGCCACTCAAAAGTGCTGGGATTACAGGCATGAGCCACCACGCCCAGCCTAGAATCAGTTTTTTGAACTGGAAAGCACCTTAGAGATGGTGTCTTCTATTCCAACCGTTCTGTTTTATTAGCAAAGATCACGGAAGCGCAGAGAGGTTAGGTCGAGTGGTTCTAAACCAGTTTTGTCTTTTGGTGGCGTTCACCTTTGTCGCGAATCCCCACACCTTACACCTCTCATTCCTGCCACAGTTTGCTCTTTGAAGGGGAGAAGTGAAGCCTGGAAAGGCCTTTCCACCCCCCGGAGTTGGGGAGTGATTTAGTCCAAGGTCAGATGGGCTCTGCTTGTAGCTGGCTTTCAGGTCCCAGTCCAGAGGGGGACCCAGCTCCTCTTCTGTGTGTGCGTGCGTGTGTGCATGCATGTGTGGTGTGTTTGCGCGTGTGCATGTGCAAATGTCTTACCAAAAAGCACTTCTTCATGTCTTCCAATTTTTAGTACATGTGCTGCCGAAGCCAGCACTCTTCATGTCTTCTTATCCAAACCCCCATCTCCAGGATCCCCTTCTTCTTGTGACCTCAGTCATGGGCCGGAAGCCACATCTTCTTTCTCTTTGGCCTTGATAGCTCCAGTGTGATCCGATCCCATATTAACATAGGGACTTTCATGACACAAAATCAGAGGTCTCAACTGTGCCCTTCTGACAAGTCGGAGAACATACTTTGTTTCATTGATTTGCAGTGGTTCAGGGAATTGAGGGAATTGGAAAAAAGAGACAAATGGCAAGGGCCATAGAAACTATCTTTAAACATTTGGCATCATGACTGCCATCGTGTCCAGTGCTGGTGGAACAGGGGTACGTCTGTGTGTGTATCTGCATGTGTGCGTGTGTGTGTGCATGTACACGTGTGCGTGCATGTGCGTGTGTGTGTGCATGTGCTTATGTGCGTGCATGTGTGTGTGCGTGCACGTCCGTGTGTGCATGCATGCTTGTGTGCATGCATGCGTGTGTGCGTGGACGTCCGTATGTGCGTGCATGCGTGTGTGCGTGTATGCATGTGTGTGTGCGTGCACGTGTAGATACACACACAGACACTGTTCATTCAGCACTGTCGTTCACAGGTGGAGCTCACCTTAGCTCCCCTGCCTGGACCCTCAGCCAGATGCTGGCCTCAAACCTCTTTCCTTGCTTCCCTGGGTCAGGGACACCCGGCCCATCCTCAGACACCAGCTTGGGTAGACAGCGGCTCTGGGACCCACAAAAACTAACAGCCCCCAGAACTGAAGAGCCCTTGGGCTTCATAGAGCATCTTAGAAAATGGGTGATGGGAGGCCAGGCAGGGTGGCTCACGCCTGTAATCCCAGCATTTTAGGAGGCCAGGGTAGGAGGATCACCTGAGGTCGGGACTTCCAGACAAGCCTAACCAACATGGAGAAACCCTGCCTCTACTAAAAATACAAAATTAGCCGGGCGTGGTGGCGCATACCTGTAGTCCCAGCTACTTGGGAGGCTGAGGCAGGAGAATCGATTGAATCCAGGAGGCGGAGGTTGCGGTGAGCTGAGATTGCGCCATTGCACTGCAGTCTGGGCAACAAGAATCAAACTCCGCCTCAAAAAGAAAAACAAAAGAAAGAAAATGGTGATGCGGCCAGGCACGGTGGCTCATGCCTATAATCCCAGCACTTTGGGAAGCCGAGGTGGGTGGGTCATATGAGGTCAGGAGTTCGAGATCAGCCTGGCCAACATGGTGAAACCCTGTCTCTACTAAAAATACAAAATTAGCTGGGCATGGTGGCACGGGCCTATAATCCTACTCGGGAGGCTGAGACAGGAGAATTCCTTGAACCCAGGAGGTGGAGGTTGCAGTGAGCCGAGATTGCGCCATTGTATTCCAGCCTAGATGACAGAGCAAGACTCTGTCTTCAAAAAAAAGAGAGAAAAAAGAAAATGGGTGATGGACCTTTCTAGTCAAAATACTGATGCAGGAAATCTCCATTGGGCTGGACTGAAGAAAGTATAAAGGACATCAGACGTTCCTCTCAATGTGACTTAAGAGGACAAAATTGCAGAGTATTTTCAAATGGCCTCGGGCTGCCCTTCTGAACCTTGGGGGTGCCTGACCACCCACCCTTGTTCCCCAAGATTCACTCGCTGGGCCATGCCTCCCAGACAGCATCTCATCCTGGAAACAGTCTCAGAGTCCCTTTTGTGTTTGGAAATAGAAACCTGGTGCCCACAGGCCCGATGGTGCCTGGTGCTGAACGATGCGGTCCGGCCTCCTTGGGGAGGCCCAGCCTTCTCTGCCCAGTATCTCAGGGAGAATCAGGACTGGCCCAGTTGAGCCAGTTTAAGTGCCTGATTTTCTCTCTTCGATGTGGGCAGCCTGGCTAGCAGAGCTATGGGAGGAGCTGCACATTTGTAATGCTGAGTCACTTCCTTTGAAGCGGGTCCCTGGGAAGAAGACTGACGCAAGAGGACCCCCTGCCGACAGCCAGGCACCCTTCGTCACCCTCTGACCCGCTCCTCAGTCCTATCTTTCAAAAACGCTTTGACCAAGAGCAAAGGGGCTTTCAAATGAAAGAGGGGTGTTTGCGCACGTCCAGGCAAGGTTTTAGGTAGATTTACTGTTTAAACACTGCCGCAGATGTAGTCAGGCATAGACCCAGCAGTCTGGTGCTTGGAGACTTCATGCAGGTTCCACTACAAGAGACCTTAGCGTCTCTCAAGTGTTGAGTCACTTCGCCTATTCTGAATGCCTTCTGGAACTCTGAAAAGTGCATTATCACCGGTGGCTTCTCTACATTCTTTCTAACCCCCCTCCCACATTTTTAAAGGAGAGCCTTTTCCAAACAGCTGCGCAGGCAGCCAGCGTTGCTTATCTCCGTGTGGGCAGGCTGCTGCTTTACATTGCTTTTGTTTTTGTTTTTGTTTTGTTTTGTTTTTAACTGAGTCCTGCAGTTAGCAAGTTGATAGTTGCTGCCTCATCAGTTTAGAAATTGAAAGGGCAGCCAGATCAGTAATGCTCAGCTTTGTAAACGGTGGCAGTTTCTTCAAGCCAGGTGAACCTTGGATGCTGTTCACGGCACCCTGGTGTTGACTCAGGCTTGCGGCTGGCTTTGTTTGCATTTGGTTGTCTCCAGTAGAAAAACCGAGGCTCATGGTTTTAAGCCCGGAACTGATGGTGAAGCCGGTCCGTTAAGCTCTGGGTGGATAATGCACGCTCTCTGCAACTCCCGCCTGCCCGAGCAGGGTTGGAATTGCTCCTGCTGTCAGATCTTCTAGGCAGTGGCAGAGAATCATCTTGAAAATGTCTGTATAGGTGGCTGCCGTGCCGTTTCAGTCTTCCACTATCTCCTTTGAGAGGTGGCAGATCCCACCTGGGTGCCACGGCAGTTGCCCTGGCAGACAGGAAATAGCCGTGTCTGTCTGGAGCCTGCGTGGGAGATGGCATGAGCGGCACTTGTCTGGGGATATTTATATCTCTTCTGTCTCATGCACAGTGAAAGACAACTGACGGCCGGGCACAGTGGCTCTTGCCTGTAATCCCAGCACTTTGGGAGGCCGAGGCAGGCGGATCACCTGAGGTCAGGAGTTCAAGACCAGCCTGACCAACATGGTGAAACCCCGTCTCTACTAAAAATGCAAAAACTTAGCCAGGCGTGGTGGCCGGTGCTCATAATCCTAGCTACTCAGGAGGCTGAGACAGGAGAATTGCTTGAACCTGGGAGACCGAGGTTGCGGTGAGCTGAGATCACGCCACTGCACTCCAGCCTGGGTGACAGAGCAAGACTCCCTCTCAAAAAATAAAATAAAATAAAAAATAGAAAGACAACTGACGTCGAAATAAGCCTAAGTCTCAGTTCCTAAATGTCTTCATAAAAGCATCGAAACTGCTCTCTGGGGCCCAGGTTTGAGAGTTAGGGTCTGGTTACGTTGACACGTGGACATGCACCTTCCCTGGATGTTGGCGTCTTCTGGAGTCTCCTCCTGCACCTCACACCTGCTCCTCCTCCCGTTGCAGGTGTACCTTCCGGTTTCCCAGCACGGCCATCAAGATCCAGTTCACGTCGCTCTACCACAAAGAAGAGGCCCCGGCCTCCCCGCTCCGGCCGCTGTACCCACAGATCTCCCCTCTGAAGATCCACATCCCGGAGCCGGACCTCCGGAGCATGGTCAGCCCCGTCCCCTCCCCGACTGGCACCATCAGGTAAGCAGCCCCCCAGCCTGCCCTTGGGCCCCCAGGAGAGAGGGAGATGGTGCGAGCATGCCTGTCGCATGCAGCACTGGGGTCCAAATCTCTCTGGAAAATTGCACGTGTATGGAAACACAGAAAGTGGTGTATGTGCATCTGGGACCTGGCTGAAATCTCTGTGAATTCTCTTACAAAGGGAAGAATCACTGCCTGGTCATCACTTTTCCCACTGGAAGTTTTACATATTAGGGCTTATTAAAGCAAGCACAGGTTTTTTTTGTTGTCTTTTGTTTGTTTTGTTTTTTTTAAAGGACATTAGAAATAGTGTTTTTGTTTGTTTGTTTTGAGACAGTTTTCGCTCTGTCACCCAGGCTGGAGTGCAGTGGCGCGATCTCGGCTCACTGCAGCCTCCACCTCCCAGGTTCAAGCCATTCTCCTGCCCCAGCCTCCCAAGTAGCTGGGATGACAGGTGCCTGCTACCACGCCTGGCTAATTTTTTTGTATTTTTAGTAGAGACAGGGTTTCACGATGTTGGCCATGCTAGTCTTGAACTCCCGACCTCAAATGATCTGCCTGCCTTGGCCTCCCAAAGTGCTGAGATTACAGGCGTGAGCCACCGTGCCTGGCTGAAAATGTTTTAAAGTAATATTTGTCCACCAGGATTTGGTGAACTTTGTTTCTTGAAGCTTCATTTGTGAAAATTCTCTCTGACCTTTTAGAAATTAATCTAGATTTTGAAGAAGTTCTTCAAACTTCCTCATCTCTGGTGTTATACAATGATAAACTCCTGAGTAGGGGTTGCAGGGTGAAAAGTGTAAACAGAGCTCTGTGTAGGGAGTGCCAGTGAGCCCTGGACTGAGTTACACACGAACCTCAGGCGGCGGCCTGGATGCGTGGCACAGAGCCCTGGCCCTGGTCCTGTCATACAAGGATGCAAAAACAGACGTGTGCTTGAGGCTGGAGGGTTCATACGTTCTTTAATGATTTACCGCTTCATCGCGGACATTTCCTAAACATGGCTGGCTTTTCTCTCTCCCAACTGCACCTCTGTGGCCCTGAAGACGTGTGGCCGCGCACGGTTTGGTGCCGGAGCTGTGACTCCTCCGCAGCACCAGCAGTTTCCGCATCACTCGTGCGTCACCAGCAAAGGTCAGCCCAGTGGAAAAAGCAGATCGAATCTTAGGGCTGTTGTGAACATGGTGTTGACCTTACCTATACCCTGAAAGGGGCTCAGGGGCCCTCGGGGACATCTGTGAGGCACATTCTGGGCACGCTGGTCTGTTGGAGCGAGTGCCGTGGCAATCCTGGGCCAGCCACGTCAGTTCCTCCCTGCTGACCTGCGCACTCTGCTGAGCCCCGGCTGCACCTTTGCTTTCTTTTTTCTTTTTTTCCCCTTGCAGCTGTAGGAGAAGAGAGGGCTGTTGTTTGTTTTTCAGAGACAGCGTCTCACTCTGTCTCCCAGGCTGGAGTGCAGTGGCGCAATCATAGTTTGCTGCAGCCTCCAGCTCCTGAGCTCAAGCGATCCCCCCACCTCAGCCTCCCAAGTCGCTGGGAGCACAGGCATGCACCACCACACCCAGCTAATTTTCTTATCTTTTGTACAGACAGGGTCTTGCTATGTTGCCCAAGCTGGTCTGGAACCCCTGGGCTCAAGAGATCCTCCCTCCTCCACCTCCCAAAGTGCTGGGGTTACAGGTGTGAGTCAACACAACCAGCCCATACGTGGCCTGCACCTTTTCAGGGTCCACAGTTAGAATTACACACTGGCTTCTCTTGGAACAGAGCCATCAGGGGCACAGCTCCTCTACCCTGCTTTGCTGACAAGTTACCAGTGGCCTCCTACAAGTTACAAGGTGGGAATCATCTCCATTTGAGTTGCCTGGAGTCGGCCTCCTTTTTTCCAGAGCCAGTGGGTGGGCGAGTCTCTCGTGGAGAGAGAAGTTCAGGGACAGTGCTGCTGCGGAAAGGTGAGGCCCTGGGCTCAGGCCGGGCATGGTCACGTGTGTGACTCTTTGCGGTCACTTCAGCCCCCACCTTCCCGGGCCTGGTTCCCGCCTGCGGAGCCAGTGCTGTGACGTCATGACCCTCTGGGATGATGATGATGGTGAATCCTAAGTGACTGAAAGCCTGGTGTGTGCCCGCCTGGCCCTGTGCTGAGCAGTGCACATGCAGTATTTTGTTTAGTTCATACAGCTTTATGAGAGAATGTTCTGGAAGTAGACAGTGATGATAGTTATTCAATTTTGTGAATATCCTAAAAGTCACTTTAAAGGGTGACTTGACTGGGCGCGGTGGCTCACACCTGTAATCCCAGCACTGTGGGAGGCCAAGGCGGGCAGATCACTTGAGGCCAGGAGTTCGAGACCAGCTGAGCAACATGGTGAAACCCCGTCTCTACTAAAAATACAAAAATCAGCTGGGCATGGTGCCACACGCCTGTAATCCCAGCTACTTGGGAGGCAGAGGCAGGAGAATGGCTTGAACCCAGGAGGCAGAGGTTGCAGTGAGCTGAGATTGCACGACTGCCCTCCAGCCTGGGCGACAGAGCGAGACTCCATCTCTAAGTAAATGAATAAATGGTGAATTGAATGTTACGGGAATTGTATCTGAAGGAAGCAGTTGAGCACCGCATATATCCTTAAGTCTTTACCTAATACCACCTTAAAGGCACTGTAGAAACGGTGGCCAAGACCAGCTCTTGTGCTGCTGGGAGCTCACCCCGGAAGAGGCTGCTCCTGCTGCTTTTGGGGTGGGCAGCAAAGGCCTCAGGTCCAGAGAGAAGCAGGCCAGGCAGCGATCCGGGACTCCTGGGGAAGGGCTAGGCCAGCGCCCCTGCCTTAGCCTGGCAGTGGGTTATTAATCAGCAGGTTGTAATCCAGCTAAAGAGAAGCTTTATTTTATTTTATTTTTATTTTATTTTTTGAGACGGAGTCTTGCTCTGTCACCTAGGCTCTGTCACCTAGGCTGGAGTGCAGTGGTGTGATCTCGGCTCACTGCAACCTCCACCTCCCTGGTTCAAGCAATTCCCCTGCCTCAGCCTCGAGAGTAGGTGGGATTACAGGCACACGCCACCAAGCCCAGCTAATTTTTTTTTTGTATTTTTAGTGGAGACGGAGTTTCACCATATTGAAAGAAAGAAAAATGTTTTGGTTTGCTCCGGGAGGGGGCTTAAAAAAATAAAACTATTTCTCAGTGTTAATTCAAATTTGCACATTAAAGTCGCATTTGTATGACAAGAGAGGTCGTGGTTTGCAAAGGAGTTAATAAGTGATACCTGTTTTTTAAACTAGGGCAGAGAAAATACTGTTTATTTTATCTTAGCTTCAGGGGGTACATATGCATGTTTGTGACATGGGTATATTACATACTGTTGGGGATTGGGCTTCTAGGGTGCCTATTACCCAAAGGGTGAACGCGTACCCCCTAGGTCATCTTTCACCCCTCGCCCTCTCCCGCCTCCCCGCTTTGGAGTCCCAGTTTCTTGTTTCCATCTTCCTCTTCCTGGGTACCCAGCATTCAGCCCCTGCTTATAAGCAAGATTAGGCGCTGTGCGGTATTGTTTCTGAGTGAGTTCACTTGGGACAAGGGCCTCCAGCTCCCTCGCGTTGCTGCCCAGGCCAAGATTTCGTTCTTTTTTATAGCTGGGAGTGAAGAAATTTCGTATTGAGCACCTAAAGCTCTTGCGGCTGGAGCTGTTCTGAGAAGCTGGGTGGCGGCCTTCTGTGACCGCCAGTCCCCATGGGCGATGCGAGCAGCTCCCTGGGCCTGCACCCGCCCTGATCTTGCTGCGGGAGCCGGGAAGGTGGGGGGCCACCCCGTTCCCCTCCTTCTGCCCAGTCCTGTTCTTTGAAACCGCCCTGTGCAAAGACCGGATTCCTGTTGGGGGAATTCTGTGCGGAGAAAGTAGTAAGTTAGGGACTGGCTGTCTGGCTTTTTGGCCTTCCATTGTTACAATAAAAGCCTCTCTGTTTACATCCGTTTATCTTAGCACCGTGGAATTCAATTGAGTGTTTAGAAACCTCAGAGGCCCTTGAGGTTTTGCCTGCCAAGATACTTTTCAGTTTGAGTTTCTGCTGTAGGGTGGAGTCGGCGTGTTTACAAACACTCCCTGCCCTTCCCTGCCCCCTCCCCACTCTCCTCTCTGGCTGGCTCCCTAACAGATCCGGAGGTGGGAGCGGGGCCAGGCCCGGAGAGCTGGCTGCCTGCAAGGCTGTCCCCTCCCGGTGCCGCCCCGCCCCCGCGGTGCCTGCCTTCCTAATTTGGTGTGCATTCGCCTCGCCAGTCCTCATTGGCCGTGGAGTGGCTGCCTTGGTGTAGGCCGGGCTCGCCCAGAGCCCCTCATTCCCAGGAGTCGGGAGTGGCTTGGGAGCGGCTTTTTCCTGGGGGGCCTCCCTGATCAGCTGCCCCTGCCCCCGCCCCCCGCCCCACCCTCCCTCCTTCCTTTCCGTTCCTCCTGCTTTGCTCTCGAAGGCCCTCGCTCCTTTTCCCAGGATGGGTGGGTGTGTGGGTGTGGGTGTGTGGTTTTGTGTGTACGTGTGTGTTCTTTTCTGATTTATTTTTTTCTGCCCTGAAGTACTCCACCCAGAAAATGAATGAACTCTCTTTGAAATAAATTCTGCTATCTTTAGCAGCAGTTTGACCTTTCTTTCCTTTTTGCTAAGAAGAGTTTTTACAGGCCAGGCAGGGTGGCTCAGGCCTGTAATCCCAGCACTTTGGGAGGCCGAGGCAGGCAGATCACCTGAGGTCAGGAGTTCGAGACCAGCCTGGTCAACATGGTGAAACCCTGTCTCTACTAAAAATACAAAAATTAGCCAGGTGTGTGATCCAAGCTACCTGGGAGGCCGAGACGGGAGAATTGCTTGCACCTAGGAGGCAGAGGTTGCAGTGAACCAAGATCGCACCACTGCGCTCCAGACTGGGTGGCAGAGCGAGGCTGCATCTCAAAAAAAAAAAAAAAAAAAGTGTTTTTAGGAAGGAATTGAAGTATTTAATGAAAGAATTAAAGTAGTTAATCA